CCATCTATGAAATGTACAAGAGTCCCCAGTGGGAGATCCCCTGCTGATCCCGGAAATCCCCTGCTGATCCTGGGCTCCATGCTGTGCTGCCACTTTGAAATGCCACGCAAAGCCCGGGGTCAGCTGTGGACTCCCCGGCTGATCCTGGGCTCTGCGCAGTTTGAAATGCTCAGCTGTACGGCACTGCCCCTTTGAAATGCCACCTCGGTGTTTCAAAGATGCAGCACCGCATGGAGCTCGGTACAGGTGCTGTGCAGCGTTGCCGCTCTGAAGTACCCTCTCCCCCCCGCTTTGAAGCCTCTGTCTGATAGAGGCAGCAAGGGAGGGGAAATCAACTAGTTGACTTGACTATCCGATGAACATTTGCTTATTGGATAGTCGACTAGTCCTTAACATCCTTAATCTATACTACACACCACAGAGTATAGAGCAGGGGTGAGCAAAATCAGACCTGCAGTCCGAATCCAGCCCACCCAGCTGATTAGCAGAGCATATATACTTATAGCTGACAGCATGTGTTCAGCTGCCCCTTCTCCCACCTTGCTCCATACTGGAGCTGAGCTGCTCCCAGGATTCTCCTGCTAGCTGTGCAGGGTAGTGGGGTGTGCTGAAGTTCGTGTGTCCCCATCACCCTGTACCCCATCTCTGCAGAGCAGCACAGCTTTCTCTATCTTAAAGAGCCACTGTGTGGCTTCTCTCAGACTTACTCAGCAGCAGCTTGCACACAATATTTAACAGCCTTGACTAGCCTGGAGCCTGAATTGCTCTACCATCTCTCTATAGATATGAACATGCAAACAATAGCAGTATTGGAACATTCAAAACATCATTGGAAGTAGAAGGGAATAAAAGGTAAATACACCATAAACAGAAACAACTTTTTAAAAAAATCTTGGGGAATCTCTCGTCTCATAAGTAGGTTTTGTAGAAGGAGAGCCTAAACATTAATTCTTGTTACAGGCCTAGTCTACACCAGGGATGTTAAATTTCGATTAATCAGCTAATCGAATAGTCAATGGAATTTCCATCGACTATTCTATTAGTCGATAAGGGGGGCACTCACTATCCCACTCCGCCTCGCCCTTTGAAATGTACAGGAGCTGCTCCTGGCTCTTGTGTATTTCAAAGGGAGAGAGGCAGCGGAAACATTCACCAGTTGGGATGGAGACAGTCCCCGCTGGCACGGGTTTTCCTCTGTGCCTCTTTCTTAGAAATGTACAAGAGTTGCAGGCAGCTCTTGTACATTTCAAAGGGAGAGGAGCAGCAGTCAGACATTGGCCCTGCGGCTCTCTGCCTCCCCTGCTCCCCCACAGAGACAGTTCTGGGGAGAACCGGCTTTTAAGCCGATTCCCCCCAGCACCGGCTTGTGCTCCCCACCCTGATAGAGGCAGTCACCCTGCCTTGTGCTTGTGTACCTTGTGTTGCCACCCTGATAGAAGCAGCAAGGAGGGAGGGGAAGCAACTAGTTGAGTTCCTACTCGTGTACCCAATAAGCATTTGCTTATCACGTAGTTGAGTAGTCATTTACAACCCTAGTCTACCCTAGAAAAGCTTTACAAGTGTTAGAAAAGAAACATACTGGCAAAAAGTGAAAATACCAGCAAATGCATTTTCATGCTAGTATAACAACATCCACTGTAGGTTTTTTGTGAGGACATCAATGCCACAAAGACACACACACACACAAAATCATACCCCTAACTGACATTTACTATACTGGAAAAAGATTTTAAGGTAACCGTGGCCTCAAGAAGGTAGCCAAACAAAGTTCTTCATAAAGTTGTACAGGGAATTCCAAATAACTGTCCTATAGATCTTCTGGATAGAAACCCATCAGAGTTGATTGCAGGTTGACATGCTGCACTGTCAATATATCATCCGGAAGGTTTTGCTCAACCAAACCTTTTCAAGTGATAACCTGATATAGCAGAGCTGCTTTTGCCTTGAAGAACAGTGTTACCATTTCCTACTCTGAACAGTTTTCTATGTTCCTGTAAAAATAAGAGTCAGAGTGATTTGGTCATTTCCACTGAAGACACCTCCCCCCATATCTGGAGGGGACAATTGCCTTCTCCAACTTTTCTCTGGTTGAGTTTTAGCCAGTTACATCCAACAAGATGCCAGATGTTCATTGTTTAGTGTTGCGCTAACAGTGCTCTCACTGAAGTCAATAATCAAGTGAATGGTAAAATTTCCACTACCTTCAATGGGAGCATAGTTAGACCAACACTAACCATGTCAAAAATCCCTTACAGGTCACTGCGTGTCCTTTGTGGATAGTAGTCATGAGCAAGCCACATGTCTACTGCTAGAAGCATCATTAAAGCTTTCCTTAAGGAAGACAGTGTGCCAGTTTCATTAAAAGCTGTTACGTCCCTCCTCAGGAAAATCTTCCACTGCCTATTGTTTAAGAAAACTCCTATGCTATTGCCCTTTCACTGTCTGAAAGCAACAGTGAGGTGGTATTTCTGAAAACCTTGCTTTTCTCATGTGAGCACAGGAAGGAGACTACACAAGTTCCTGTTTGAAGAACTCCTCTATCAAAAGAACAAAGGTTCAAAGATTAATGTTAATTATTATGAATAAGATAGAGCCTTTGATACCAATGACAACACTTGGTTGACTTTACTACAGGAATGGACAAGTCAGCACCGGGGTAGGAATGGAACCAATTTTCACAATGGTTCCTGTGGGTGGGATTGAGCTAATCCAACCCAAGAGTTTTCTCCTATAGGGACCCAATGTTCTGTATGAACTCTAAGGTAACATTTTCAAAAGTTATGTAGGCATGTGGAAGAGCCTAAATCCTAGGGACTTTCAGTGGGACTTGGTGTGCATGTGTGCAGAGGGAAGTGTAATTTCCAGTTCATATAGACATATCCTGCTAATTCACTAGTTGTATATGAATACAGAGCAGTGTTTCTTAAACTGTGTTCCACAGCACGCCCGTGTGCCACAAAGGCAGTTGGAGGTGTACCGCAGAGAACAACAGAATTCAAAATGGCTGCTCTTAAAGAAGCAGGTGACATTTTTTCCCCAATAACTTACCCCCCAACCTTTTCTTCCCCCTCAATAACTCTCTCCCCCCTCCCCCCCCCCCCACCTCCCCCACATTTTTTTTTTTTTGTTCTACAAAAAAATCCTTGGTGTTTCTCATTAAAAACAAATATTGTTTGGTGTTCCTCTGTCTTAAAAAGTTTAAGAAACACTGGAATAGAGTATAGCTTAACAGCCAGGGCCAGATTAATCATTATGCTAATAAAGTTATAGCCTTAGGCCCTCCTGCTCAGGCAGGAGGCAGGGCTAGGTAAGGGAGGGGGAGTGAGCTCGCTCACACAACCCTGTTGGAGCCTGGAGCACTTCTGCCAGCAAGAAAGATAAGGCAAATATGTATATTTTTTACAGCATTAAGTAATCTTACTGCTTTTATGCACTTACAAACTGAAAAGAACATTTCAGATGTTATTAATTTGCCAAAAAGATTAAAATGGTATTGATACTCTGCTACCCTTTTGAAAACAAGACTAATGCTGAATAGAATATGCATGATAAACAAAAGACTATAGAAACCATTTGTACTATCCAACAATTAAAATAATGATTTTCTGTCGTCTTGATAACAAAGTTTATTACCAGACAAAATTGGTGAAAGATTAAGAAAGCACTTTGGGCTTTAAGTGTATGTTAAGCAAGTATGTTACACAATTATTTTTGTATTTTCAGGATTAGGGAAGTCTTTACAAAGTCTGCCTCTGTCATCCAATGAGATATCACAGATTGATCAGAGTGATTTTCACAACTGTTCCCAGCTAAAGAACATCTACCTACAGACCAACAAGATAACCAAAATTCATCCTGATGCCTTCAAGAATCTTAAAAGCTTGCAGGTTGTAAATATGGCATTATAATTTTTCAAATGAAAATGGTGTGTATAGAATACTTGTTAGGAACATTAAGCATCATAACTTTTATCCAGTATTAATTCAGTCATTAGTATACAATTGTAAAAATTAATCTAAAGGAAATAGAGTAGGTCTCAAAAAAAATCCTCAGTTCTGTGACAACAGCTTTAAACCATAGCTATATGGGGGAAGTTGTAAAATATTCACATTATTTTTTCTTGTAAACCTTCGTAAGTATTCTAGTTTTTAAAGGCAAGATTTTCCATCTTTTCTTACAGGCTAACTTCACTTTTATATATTTCCTAACCCTTATTAGGACATGTGCTTATACCGCAATTTCAATAATACCAATAGTTGCATCATTTAAACGAGTCAGAGTGTTATATAGCTTCTTTTAATTTAAGTGAAAAACAGGTATCAGAAGAGAATCCTTTATGGGATCTCTTGCAATTTTGACTAAATTTAACAGGAGGCAAAATGCTTTGGGCACTTTGTGCACAGCAGCAGGCATTCAGAACAGATCACCTAGTCCCATTTCCCTGCTATATGGATCCTTCACTGAGCATGCACAGACACACACATAGAAACTGGTGCAGGTTAAGAACACGAGAAATGTGCATGGTCCTACTATTGACCAGCATATAGATGAATTTTAACACTGCTTTTACAGCATAAATACATATGTACCCACTTCATGGACAAGCCATGTAGTCCAGAATTAAGCTCTTAGTTAAAGAGGGTAAAGAGATTTTAAAAGACCAAAATTATGTGATTTGGAAAGGAGACCCATAAGAAAGATCTGTGACAGAAATATATAAAATAATGAGGCGGGAAAGGTAACCTAGTATGTGTTATTTATTTCTCTCCTCCCACCCTAAAAGCAAAAAGGCACTCTGAAATTTACAATAGTGAACTTAAAATAGATATTAATTATTTTAATATATAATTACCCATAATTTTAATCCTAGCTATTTAATACTCATTCTTCAGAGCATAAAGTATCCATCAGTTGGATCAAGAAGGATTTGAAAATACTAGAGAATTACCTTCCTTTGAGGTATCTGAAATTAACACCATTGACCGGGATAAAATTCCTCTTTGCCAAAGCTGGGGTCCAGTTCTATAGTTTGGAAGAAAGTTAGACATGAAGCTTCCAGGCCCCTAGCAGTCACACTGAGGATGAAAGAGTTCTAAGGATACTGCCCTAATTTTTTGTGAGGAAAAGCCTACATTCTTGCACCTTAATGTTGGAATCTCCCATATCTTTGAAATCACTTAATAAACAAAGTTGTAGTACAATTACATCTGGAATATTCTGAAGGTATTTTTCCTGCTTCCTTAAAAATGTTTAGCACATTTTGGTCTGGTAAAAACTGGTTTATTAAAATAAATGTTATTATTAATGTTGCAAAAGTTAGTCGCCATTTGCTCTATACAGCTCTTTGAGTAACTTTTTTAAAAATACATTGTGAACCTCAGCAACAATGCTATGACAACCCTTCTACCAGCAATATTCATTGACTTACACATACTTCAATCAGAAGTGGATTTATCAAACAATCCCTGGATATGTGACTGCAGGCTCATTGCTTTCAAACATTTCATTAGTTTTCTTTCTGAATGGTTGAGGAAAAAGTGGAATATCTTATGCAGCAAACCGATCAGCAACTCGTGACAACCTCTGCTGTCTCTCAAAACATTTCATTTAAAATGTGAAATGCCTATAAACAACGTTTCATTTAAGAAAATTGCTGTCCCTATCAGAGAAAGAATTGTGCTAGACTGCGGCTTGGATAAAACCTGTGGTATGTGTAACAATCACTATATTCATCCTCCATTTTAAGTTCCTGTAAAATACATACGGTAGAACCATAATCAAACTTCATTCACAATAAAGGAAACCGTTCCTGAGCTAAAATCTTGATTAAGCATAGTTGTACTATAAATAGATATCAGATACATTAAAACATAAGAATGCTGTGATTAAACTGTTTTTTGGAACTTAAGTTTCAAAAATTTGAATATTTATTTTAAATTGTTGATGTCATATTCTACATCTTTATTCAACATTATATTATAAAATTAGTCATGCTGCAAAGTTAAGAACGAGTTGTGTATTATAAATTAGTGCATATTTTGGAGGATGGAGGCAGAATAAGCTTTGCCACCCTCACTGGAGTAATAACTATGAGACAGTATTTCTGAACTGTTTGTAATGAGTGGAAACACTGTGGTGTTTTTATTCTCACTAGTTAAAGTGAAAGAGGGTTTTTATTTAGGTCTGTAAAGCTTGTGTGAAGGGGAGAAGGTAGTTTACATTTTAGTTTATAAATGTGGCTACCCAAAGCTTTAACATATAATTTACTTTGTAAATAAATTCTTTTTGACCCATTATCACACTCTCTCGCCCAATGTCAACAACATCCATAAGGACTAAGACTTTTCCCACTGAGCCCTCTTTCTAAAATTTGGCCCAATTAACAAGTACATTGGAGTGGTCCTGAAAGTTCAACAAAGATTGGCTCTGACAAACTAACAGGAAAGCAAAATGAAAGCTTTTGGACCCTCCTTTTGAAAAGTTTTACTCCAGATGGCTGGATAGGAAATGTCAGGTTTGCCAGCCAGTATCTACTCCCAAGATTAGTACAAATTAAAAGGCTATCTATAAGATGTGCAGGACCCAAACCATCAAGGATTTATTGATTAAAATCAATACATTGACTTTAACCCTGAGATGAAGAAGTAGTCCACACAAGTTCTGGAGCAGATGCATAAGCAGGTTCACAATAAGGTATGTCAGTAATTAACCAACAGCCACATTCTGCACCAGATGAAGTTTCAAGTGATTGTCAAAAAGATACAGCTATAAATATGCATGTATAATATGGCTCAAAAGTAAAGTATTTCCATTGTGAATCAAAAGCATATTGATTTAACTCTAGTAATTTCTTCCTCTAGTGTTTACAGTATGGAAGTTTGAAAGGCTATGGTCCAAATTGGAAGTGTGGGTGAGTCAGTATGATGGTTTAACAGAAAGGTGGCAGGGTATTAGCAGAGCATTGTGGAATAAAGTAAAATATGGGCTTTGTTTAATATTTAAGAATTAATGGCATCTAAAATGGTTAAAGATTATCATAGTTTCCATAGAAATGATGACTACACTGAAGACTATTTAGCTTTAATGGGCAATAGATTTACCTTTTTAATATGTATTTAATGATCTTTCTTATTCCAGGGAATAAAGAAATCTATTAGTGGACACCCAGTGGCAGAATTTCCAAGGACCACTGGCTTCCTCCTATCAGACAGGACAAAATAAAAAACTTAATAATATACAATATTGGGAAAACTGCAGAAGGGCTATATGCATGTATTTGTAACCAAATGAAGATGAAATATCTCATCTATGACATATATGTGGAGCAAAATTTTTCATCATTTTTGGTTAGAAATGCCAGAGATGTCAATGCTGTTATTAGACAAGGAAGAACAGAAGGAGACTTCACTTTGGCAGTGTCTCTCTCAGTGGTCATTACATTTGTTTGTGCTTTTTGTCTTGGTGCTTTCACTAGACCTTATATTTGCAGGATCTGGAGACAAATATGCAGAAAGAAAAGCTCAGCTTCAGAAAATACATTTTCTAATCAAGGATTTTCAGCTGAATCCCTGACAAGAGAAAACACTGCAAACACACAAATAAGGGTGCAGCAAAAATTATCTTTTTGTAGTGGAAACTCTTCACAAAATGTAGGCTCTCACATTGTGGATATTTCTAGCTTGCATAAGGAGGCCCTTCATAACAGAGTACTTGCACTAAGTACAGAAGAAACAAACCAAGATCAAAGCAGTATCAATATTGAAGTAGAAAAAGAAAAGGTGTCTCAGAATAACCAAGCAACTAATTCTGCTGATGAAGCAGACACAGAGATTGATGATGAATTTTTTTCTTCAGTATCAGATCACCAGTATGGCAATAAAGCCTTTCAAAGAGAATTATCAAATAATGACAATTCATCACATGAAGATTTAAAATACATTTTTAATGAAAATTCAGGAAAAAGCAGGTTCTCTTCTATAGCAGATAGATATATCATGGACTCTTACTCACTCTCTGCTGAATCTTCAGATTTAGATTTACCATTTGCAAGAGAAACCAACTTCCCATTTTCTGAAGCACAAATACAAACAAATACACAGTATTCTAAATACAATGATGTAAGCAACGGATCTAATCTGTTTCAGTCTGAAATTGCAGAGTCTCTGCAGAAGAGACAAATGACTTCCCATAGTCAGCCCTTGAATACTCAACAATTGATGTTCAAAAGGAATAACTGTGAAGAAGAGCTTGATGTAAATGATAACATAAATATGCTCAATGACAGTGAAAATTTAATTTTACCTCTTAGTTATGAAAATGATACAAATATTGATTATTCAAACACCCAACAAACACTGAAACATTCTCCTGCTAGTATTCAAGAGTATGATTGTAAAGAAGAAAATATTAGAAATGAAGACAATCCAGTGGACAGGTTTAGTGACAGCAATTCCATAGAAGAAGGATCTATATTCACACTGAGTGATTCTAGTTCTTTAACAGAAAGTGAGCTGGAGCAGTCTAATGCTGGTGATGATCATCTGACCAACCCATCCGTAACAGAGCAGATGATTACGTTAAAAAGTGGTACGGGCAAGTTCACCACATTGCTACAGAACCCTAACATTACTACTAGATTTCAAGATATTATGGAAAATCATGAAAATAAAAATGAAACATATTCTGAAACAGCTATACTTTCTGGATCAGGCACTCGCAGGTCTGGAACATATTCATCTGTTCTTCATATGGATTCATCTCAGATTGATATATCTGACACATCTCATACGGAAAAGTTTGCTGATCATGTAATCCTGTCAGATTCAGATACAAACAACCCTGCATGTTGTGAAGTTCTTGGTAAAACTGAGTATGTTACCAATCCAAATTCACCAGCCCAAAATATAATTTCTAACCCTGCCTGCAAACAAAATATAAATTTGAATTGTGTAACATTACCACCATTAAATTATTCTCCCAAATCTACTCCAGATACAGAGAATATTTCTAACAGCACTTATTTGAAGCTCTGTGAATTTTCTACTCTAATGCAGGATTCGGACAGATCCATTCCCACTGATCTAAAAGAAAATGTTATTGAGATCAATACAGACAAAAATCATATAGCTCAGAGTTCTTCCTTAAAGAATTACAGGGAACCATTTCTTCAGTCTCATTCTGAGAGCACAGATGAAAAAACTGTTTCAAACATTACACAGAAACAGGATTCATCAGTGCAACAAGAACTGCATATGAAAATGTCTGGGTCTTGTGCACAAAGAATGCAAAGGGATTTTAATGAAGGGGAATGTGATACACACACAGAACAAGAAGTTTTGTCTGGAATAGATAAAGGCAATTCTAGCTTGTGTACAGCAGAACTGCAGTTTCACAATATTAGGACAGATTCAAGCTCTTCTGAAACAATGCAATCAATTTTAAATGAAGAAAAATACTTACAACTTGATCATCAGAAGGAAGAGAATGTAGGTTTTCCAGCTAATCCTCAGAGCTTTCTAAATGAAAATGTGAAACATTGTTCATATAAGGGGTCACAAAATGTTCAAAGAAATACAATTGGCAACAGAGCCAATTCCAGTGAAGCTGAGAATGAAACTTCTTTGGATGAATTAGCAAATGTATTTAAGGCCATTCCAATCCTTCAAAATTCAAGTGAAAAACCTGATAAAAAAAATGAAGCCACAAGAGGGCAGCTTTTAGCAGAAGGCAGCTTTTTTGTTAAGAAGAAAAAAGCCTTTGATGGTTTTGCAAGTGTTCTACAAAGCAGGAGAACAATGGACTCCACAAAATAAATGTAGGATGTTAAATGACTGTAACAAGACTCTCTGCAACATTTATTAATGGTACATAATCTTACACAGTAACCAAGTACGTGTCAAAACATGCTTAATTTAAGTTGAGTTATACACTCATAAATATTGAACATAAAACTTTAAAAAAATTCATCTAACCAGTATGCACAGTTCTCAGCATAATTATCTGCCCTGAGTTATTTCAGATATTCATGCTGTAAAAATATTTAAAAAATAAAAGTAGTATGACCCTAAGAGTGTGCTATATTGTAACTCATATCAGGCCTGATACACTCACTACCCCCAACACACTGTTGTCAAAATATCTATCTAAAAGGTATCATGTAAGGCAGGGGTGGGCAATAATTTTTTTTCCGGGCGACACTTCAGAAATTTTCGAAGTGGCCGTACCAGAAGGGGCGGGGCCTCAAGCAAAAGGGACAAAGCCGGAATACTTCCCCGCTACCCCACCCACAGACCATGATTGGTCTGGGGGTGGGGGAGCATCTTTGCCTCCCTTAGAGGTTCCCCCACAGCACCCATGCCTCTGGCAATGGGAGGAGATATCGCGCGCTTTCCTTTATCCCCCAGATTGCCTGGGGGTGGGGGAAACACACAAAGCCTCCTCCCACCCTGCCAGGAGCATGTGGCACTTCTAAGCACCACACACTCCTTGTAACATGAGGGCAGGGTGGAGAAAACTTTGCGCGTTCCCCCTGCCCCCAAGCCAATCAGGGCTTGGAAGTGGGGGAGCACATGAAATCTCCTCCTGCTCTGCTAGGAGTCACGCACTCCTGGCAGGGCAGAGGAAACTTCATGTGCTTCCCCCTGTCCCCAGACCCTAATTGGCCAGGGAGCAGGGGAAGTGGCAGGGCCTCCGTGGGCTGGATCAACCCGCTTGGTGGGCTGGATCTGGCCCGCGGAGGCCCTTTTGCCCACCCCAGGTATCATATGTAAACTGGTAAATTGTCCTCCAGAATGAATGTGATACACATGCATGAGTTGTGTACAAAGAGTTATTTATGTGTGCTGGAAGCGTATTCTTTAAAATGTGTTTGGGAACCAGTGCATATATTGAGCCTGCATTAGCAAAGAAATATGGATTCCCATATCTGGCTGGCTTGATTAAAAACACAGGAACAATGAAAGTACATTTATATACAGGGTAAACAAAGCAACCAAGCTAACAAGCAGCAGCTTAGTAAACACACAGGGGGACAGAGTCCACACCCCTATGAAATCTTCCTGTCTCTTTAGGCAGAGATAATAGACTCGGGGAAACCTAAAGAGATCAAAAAGACATGTTAATTACCCAGCACTTAGGAGGACATAGGTTACAGCACCCTCTGAGCCAGTGAATGTTGGGTCTCTTGGCTGGGAGGATGTAAGTGAGAAAGCTGCTTAGGCAAAGATAACTTACTAAAATTAAATTTTACAGTAGAGATCAAATTTTGTTTTGTTTGTAACCAAACCTGGGTTGTTGTTTTTTTTTTGTATTTGCTTTATATCACTTAAATCTGTTCTTTATTAATAAACTTATTCTTATTTTATTACAAAGACATCTCAGTGCAGTATATTTAAGTGAAGTATATCTTCAGCTAACTCAAGGAATATGACGGGGTCTGTATAAAGGGAGCACCTAAAGTTCAGACATGGAGAAAATGTATAAACAATAGTCAGACTCACATAACTTAGCTCAGCTAGGGCTGCAACCATGGTTTTTTCTGCATCCTGATTAATCCATACAGTGGTAGATTTTGGATGGATTTGGGGAGAGTGAGAGGGATTGCAGGTTTGAAAGCAACAGCACAAACGTGTTCAGGCCCATCCTTCCCTCCATTCTCTTCCTCTGTACCTCATTACTTTTTCTTTTATGGCTTTGAAGTTGCTCCTCTAATGAACACTCTGTTGTAGGACCCAGGGAAGAGCATACGAGTGGGCTCTGGCCACAGCACTGCATGAATGTTATTTCATGACCTAGAATAATATAAGTGCAACAAACCTTCAGAAAAACAGTGGAAGTGGCTATGCTATCAAACAAAGCAAAAACTGGCAAGGTTATTTCCCCCCCTTTAATCTCTTCTAGATACAGCAATTTGAATTTCTTAATGGAAACAGCAGTAGACAAAAATAAATTCAAAGCAATTTGAGATGGCTTTTTTCAGCCCTTATTTTTTCCATTACATCTTTGACTGTTTTATAAATGATAGCTGATGATCTTGTTAAACCACTATCTTTGAAGTGTCACTGAAAACTGTAGAGGCTTGAAAAAAAACCTATACATGGCATTTATTTGTATCCCAGAAGCATTCAACTTGGAATGGAGGAACAAAATCGCTTATTTGAGACCTACATTTCCCCAATGGAAGAGATCAGCAGATTATTCCTCATACCTAAGTATCATTTCAGCAGATATGATTACAGATGAGAGACAAACAGAGATTCAATGAATAGCATATTGACAACTGGGTGCGTAGTAATTCTTTCCAAGTACAAAGATAACAAATCTCATGAGACATCAAGATCATTTCATATTGGTGTCATTCACATAGGGATGTGTAAGAGAGGAAAACGTGAAATTAAATGTAGACTGGGGGAGGAGAAAAATAGAAGTTCAGGAACTCTATGCGTAGAGTTCTCTGAAATGCTTCCAATTGCACAAATTGGGCCAGATATCTAGGGAAAACATCAAATTCTGCACTTTGATGAAAAAACAGTTAAAACCAAGAAGGGATTTACCTTTTTTTTGTCACTGGATGGAGCCACATAGATGGGATAGGTTCCAGCTTAAAGAAAAGTGAAACCAGACTGCTGACATGGAAAATTGATATGGTTTGGTAGGATTATTTAAAGTAGGAGTTTGGAGAAAGTCAACAGCTGTTGAAGAGGCCTAGCAGATATTTTTGCCCAACTTGAACTATATCAGGATTACAGAAAGTGACACTGAGTCCAGTAAACATGAAGATACCTGAACTGAAAAAGGGAAAAGATTAGGTCACCAAAGTAAATTTTTGGAAAATACTCCATCTCTAATTTTATTCCACAAGAGTAATTCTAATCTAACTAATCAATAAATTGAGTTGCTTTTTCAAAGTAAATTATTCAAGCATACACAGTGTTGTTATAGGTATCGGTCTAAGGATACTACAGAGACAAGTTGAGTGAAGTAATCTCTTTATTCGACAAACTTCAGTTCATCTATTAAAAGCTATTACCTCACCCACTTGTCTCACAGTCATATTTTATTTCAATTATTTATGGAAGTTTCAGCCAGGTATTACTTGAATTTGACTTTGGTAATTAAGTTATCCACAAAAAATTGTGCACTCTATGGTCTCAACTGTGCCACTGTGAACAATCATTTTACATGTATAAGAGTCTCAGAGGGGTAGCCATGTTGGTCTCTAACTGAAAAAAAAAACTTAAAAAAAATGGTCCTGCAGCACCTTAGAGACTAACAAACACTATCTACATTTTTTTGGTAGTTTAAGGTGCTGCAGGACCATTTGTTGTTTTTAACAATTTTACAGGCATTGTCACAGATCCTCTTGTACTCCTATATAACTCATGAAGAACTGAGCCTGAACTTTTTTGCACATTACCCACCAATATGCATGTTGATTCAGGCATTTTGAGTTTCTCTGGTACCTCTACTTTCACAGATTATGATTGTGGCTCCCTTGGGATAATCACTCCTAGTGACTTCCCAGCTGTAATCAGTTCTAAGCTTCAACAGAGGTGTTTTACCATTAACAGTACTATTCTTTTGTCTTTCTACCCACTTTCTTGCCACTGTTAGGTTTGGAAGCTGGTAGATAAAAATTTGTCAGTAGGGTTGCCAGATGGTTTCAACAATAATACCATGGACACACCCTTTGAATAGAGCAGCCTTGGATTTGGGTAGGAAATGCGTGCAGGCATTGACTACTGCTCTCAGCTCAAAGAAACTGATGTGTTGGAGGGACTCCCGAGCAGACCATCGGCCTTGAATTTGGTAATCTCCAAGGTGGGCTCCCCAGACCAGCAAGAATGCATCTGTTGTGATCTGTACCGTGGGCTGTGGATGACGGAAAGGAATGCTGGCCAGCATGTTTGTGGGGGTACTCCACCATGTTAGGGATTCCCGTACCGTAGGAGGGACGGACACCGTTCTGTAAAGATTGTGATTGCCTAGTTGATAAATCCAAGGTGTAGCCTTGCATGCTGCACCACACATGTGGTGGCGGCCATATGACCCATAAGTCTTAGGCAGGTAAGTATCGAGGTCTTGGGGCTCGTGGAAAGTATCTGTACAAAATTTGAATTACCTGGAATCTGGATAGGGGCAGGTAAGCCCTGGCGGTGGTAGAATCTAATCATGCTCCGATGAACTCGAGGGATTGCAATGGAGTCGTGGAAGATTTTGCAAGATTGATTATGAGCCCAAGAGCATTGAATAGATCTTGTGTGATGTTGATCGCTTGTGATGCCTCCTCCAGAGTAGGCACCTTGATTAGGCAATCATCCAAATACGGGAATATTACGATGCCTTGTCAGTGGAGATACATGGCCACTACCGCTAACTTCTTTGAGAAAACTCTGGGCGCTGACGAAAGGCTGAAAGGAAGAACTCTGTACTGAAAATGTTCATCACCTTCCAGGAACCTGAGGAAATGTCTGTGAGCCAGATGTATGAATCCTTGTCCGAACGGAGCACCTGGTCCGTTTTCTTGGCAAATAAGCTTTGCCTGTCAAAGGGCAAGTCCTCTACTTTTGATTGTAGCTCTTTTGGTAATGCAGCCAGTTGGAGCCAGGATGCTCTGCGCATCACCATTGATGTGGCGGTGGTCCTTGCAGCTGTGTCAGTAAGTCGAGGGATGCAAACCAATCCCTTGCATTGAGTGCTGGAATGAATGATGGAAGCCAGTGTCACCATCCTGAACCTGTGCTTTCGAAGGTATTGATTGAGTCATCAGAGGTCCAATATTCGTCTCCACCCTCCTTTTTCTGGATAAGGAAATATCGGGAATAGAATCCCTTGCTCCGGAAATGTTCGGGCAACCTCTCTACAGTGCCAATCGTGAGCAGGTGGAGAACCTCTGTTTTTAAGAGAGGCTCATGAGAGGGGTCCCTGAAGAGGGACAGGCAGGGGGTGAACGGGGAAGGTAAAGAAGAGAATGGATTGCATAGCCTGATGTAATTAGCTTGCGAACCCATCTGTCTGTGGTGATGGCAAACCATCAATGCTGGTATGATCTCAATCAATGATGAAACAGTTTGTGCAACTTCTGTGGATGGTACACCAAAGGGATGGTTTGCAGACCCCCGACCAAGCCATCAAATGGGCTGCTGGTTATTTTCTTGGTTCAGCGCCCTGTTATTTTGGGGTTATCTCCTTTGCTACCGCTGCCGCTGCCTAGGTCATAGTTGATTGTATTGTCTGAATCGAGATGCTCCGTATGAGAAGGGCCTCTGATGATAATATGGCACATATCGGTGTCAATAAGGCGGGGTATACATGCTGAACGCCCTAAGTGTGGTTCTTGAATCCTTGCCCGAATGGAGCACCTGGTCCGTTTTCTCGGCAAATAAGCTTTGCCTGTTGAAGGGCAAGTCCTCTACTTTTGATTGTAGCTCTTTTGGTACTGCAGCCAGTTGGAGCCAGGACGCTCTGCGCATCACCATTAATGTGGCGGTGGTTCTTGCAGCTGTGTCAGTGATCGCCAACGCTATCTGCAAGGCCATCCTTGAGGCAGTATAGCCCTCCTGTACCA